GCCCCCGCGCCGCCGGGACCCGGGACCCCCGCCCGACGCCGGCTCCGAGGGCCGCGGGGGAGGCCGTTTGGGAAGAGAAACGGGGGCGGGGGCGGCTGAGAACTGCAGATCTACTAAGATGTGCTCGTGAGTGTTAAGCAAATGCCCTGCCTCTTAACTGTCGTCTCATTAATGTATGGCAATGCCGGGAAAACAGTACTCGGTGGATGGGATTCGTAACCTTGAACCCTGATGGAAGAGGTTGGACCCCACTGGTCCCCGCCCGCCCTGCCTGGTGATTAATTTGGACGAAAGCATCCCTAATGCCCCCATTTGCGCCTCCTGAGCCAGCAGGCGGCTCCCTGCTCCCCAGGCCTTAGGGTGCACCTGCCACCAGGACGAGGCCGCATCACTGTGCGCAACCTCTCTCCCAATCCAGGTGGGAATAGAGGCAAGTCTTGGACAGAAGGAAAAACAGTCCTTACAGAGCCTCCCTCCCTCCTTTGGCATATAGAAGGAGAGGAGAACTCACTCCCTAGCAAGAAGTCACCTCCTGCCTCGTGACAGCTTCAGTTATTACATGGGGACTCCTTGTGAGCTCCTCTAGAGCAGGAGCTAGGTCATTTTTATTGATAACATCAACGATAGTGAACATCTGCTGAGGACTTACTATATGCAAAACATTATGCCCACTCCTTTATCTAAATCACTTTATTTTTGCCACAACAACCCTACTGCTCTCCTGAAAACCGAGGCTTATGGAAGCCTTACAAGAGGCCCAGGGGAACCAGCAGGAAGGGGTGGAGATGGGATGGGAAAGTAGGCCTGCTCCCAACAGAGCCTGTGTTCCCAACCATTCTGCAATATTCATTTTATGTGTCTTTCTTGCAGCTGACACTGCTGTTCTGCACCCCCTTCCTTCAACTCCCCAATCCCTCCAAGACAGTCCTCTCCCTTGTGGCCCGGGAGTAAATCCCAAATCTGTTACAATCAACCTGTTCTTTTGTCAGGGGCTTGGTTGAGAAAAGAACATGTGACCAGTCCTGGCCAATGTCATGGGAGGGGACATCTGCTGGGGGCTTCTGGGAAGTGCTTCCTTGCTCCAAAATAAGGGACACACCGAAGCGCTTCCCGTTTCTTCTGCTGGAAGATAGCTTGGTGCTGTGTATAGTTGTGTCTACCACCTGGTAACCATGGAGTAGCCAGGCAGCAAAACTACTCTTTGTGGAGATAGATTTGCAAGATTCAGTGATGCGGGCAGGCTGAGTCCAAGGACCCAGAGGGAGGGTCCCACAGGACCAGCCAAGAGAGTCCCTGGCTTTATACATGATAGAAATCAAACGCAAGCCAGAGAAAGTGAAAGCAGTTTATTGACTAGCGTGAGTGACAGAGGGTAGCAGACAGAGTGTCTGGGAGACTCGGGAAGGAAAGGAGAGTGAGTCTCGTCATCACTTGGGGTGAGGGGTTTATACTGGAGAGGGGTCTAGGGTACGTGTTGCTTCAGGAATCGAGGACAGGGTCCAGTCAAAGGCTAGTGTCAGGTGAACAATAGGTGTTACTCCGTAAATTACTGAAGGTAGGAGTGTTGATGCCAGCGTCAGCTGAGGTTTGCTTGAAGCT